ATAAAAATAAATTTTTAAAATTAAGTAGCTTAATTCGTTCAACACCTATATTTCAGATTTCAAAGATGATTTTATCAAGCGGAGACTAGTTTGCAACTATTGATCCCGTATGATTGCGCTTTGAACCCATGCAATGCTTATGTGGTCCCCAGTACTAGTTTTTTTAGCTGGAGAGCACCACCAGGCAAGTGGCGACACCATCAACAGCGATACAGTAGGTACGGACAAAAAAGTTTGGGGGACTATGAATAGACGTTAATCCCTACTAGGTTGGAATTTTTCCGCCGGCTTCTACGCTAATCACGCCTTCATTGGAGTCAAATATTAATCGTGACTTCGGGGGAAGGGCTGCGCCTGTACAATAATAAAACTTACTCAAGAAATTATAGATTTTGCGTATGGCTATGAGCAGAAGGAATTGGAAAAAATTTGTTTTTTTTTGTTTAAAGTGAGAATTATGGGGGATTTTAGAAAATTAGAAAATAACTCATTAACTAATTTAAGGAAAGTAAATCACAAAAATAAATAGGAAATAAATCAATAATAGAAAAACTCTATTCAAAGGTGTAACTTTTCAGATACGGTTCACAAACGGATCATCAATGCAAAATAATTCAATTATTTATTAATAAATTGGTTATAATCATAAACAAACTCTGACAGACTGACAGCCAACTCTTACTTATTTTATCGATAATTAAAGTACTACCGTTAATTATTTCCTAACAAGAAATAATCTCATGTAGAACCGTGGAATTTAATTTTTCGATTACATTAAAAATTAGAAAAGTCTTAACTAAAACCAACAAACATACTACTTGTCACAGCCCCACTTCCCCTAAGGCGAACCAGAGGGTTCGGCGGACCGCCTGCCCAACTCTCGACAAGACTACGGAGTCAAAACACTCACAAACCCTACGTAACGCACGATAGAACCCAAGAAACCCACAATCGGAGATTACTAAGCCGAGAACACGAAAGTCAAACCATTCTAAGCGATAACACTGCGATCAAACGATTCACGTACAACGAATAATGAAGAACGAAAAAATGAAAATGAACAGTAGTTGCCACGTCACAATCCGGTCGGATTCAAGGCAGTGAGCAACCAAAATTTTTTTTCAAATTCCCCTGCTAATCCGGCCAGATATCCGGCCAAGAGCTGGCCGGATATACGGCCGGATTCAGTGAAATAGTTTCCCCCAAAATTTTTCTTTCCACATCCAAACTCTGCACTCGTCCGAATCCCAATCAAGTACAAGCAAACTATATATAATACTAGAGAATGTACATTCCCAATCAAATGAGTCACATAGACAAGACCAAACACTTTTATATACACACATTGGTAAATTTACAACTCAAAAGGGACACATTTGATTAAGATACAATTAGGGTTTTCGATTACAGAGCTATACAAAAGAATATTTAAACTAGCTCGACTCTTTTCTCAAAACATCATAGTTCCAAATCATTGTTCCCTGTAAGGAAAACAAATGCAACGGAAAAGGGTGAGTTTACGCTCAATTAAATATCAAAAAATACAAACAATCGAGAATCATGGATCATCCTTTTAATCAATCAAATATACATGCCAAATAGGGAAATGAATAAACATTTCAAATAGAAAGGATACTGGTGGCTCTCAAGAGCCAAAATTTTCATTGCAATACTTGATCCAAACTCGTTAACCTCCGTCAACGTTTAATGAACAAACATGTCCGTAGACTCCTCTTACGCTAAATTCGTTCGCCAAACATACCCCTTACCGGGCCCGAACGTCAAACAAGAAAAAAATGGTAATACTCAAATATACGGGAATTCAGAATCTTCAATACCCAAAGATTTCCCAGAAACAGTCCCCATGGTTTGTCAATTTTTCTCGACCAAGCCCTTACTGGCTCGATTCAATTGACTCCCCATGAGGTTGAACTCAAGTTTAACAAGAAGGTCGTTGGATACACTTCTAAATGACATCAGATCAGGCACAGTAATATATTCCAATTTATACAGTAAACAGTCACATAGGCAAGAGAACGAGTGTGATAAAGTACACTCTCGTCTCATTCAGAATAAACAGAGTTCACAGTCATTCAAGTCACAGATTTCAAGTACAAGTAAACCAGTTAATCAACAAATCAAAGGAATGGTACACTCACCAGTTCAAGTAAAGATAACTTCAAAAATTTTCGCCCAAAGTATGGTTTTAATCACCGAGAAATCCTAAAATAACCATGACAAGATAATTAGGTTCCCACATTCACAAACCCAATAAACGGAATACATAAATGAGACTCGACTACAAGTTGTATGCCTCTCCGAGTTAACTACTAGTACAAAGAGATAAAATGTAACTTTTGAGTAAAAAAGGTAATAGTTGGTCATAGGGATACGAACAACACAAAAACCCTTCATTTATCTACCAAAATGCAACTCAAACTTAAAGGAACCAAACGGCCTAAACAATTGGACAACACCTCCCCTTAATTCTCTACTTTTCCACCCTACAATAGTCACCAATCACAACTCATTTCAACCACAATTGTACATACAAATACTAGGCTATTAAACACACTTCCTTAGGGTCATAATACCCTTCAATCTTAGCCATTTAAGAGCTTTAAAACCAACGATAATAAAGCCCTAAATTCAAAACCTTAAACTGAAATTGAGGTACACAAGTTGAAATTTTTTGTAGACAAGTGAAACTAACATATCCAAATTCAAAATTACACATAACAAACTACCAAACCATGGCTAATCATCAATCATCACATGAGGACAGAAAATTCACTATAAAAACTGAAATTTACCATAACCCTACTTCAAATCATAAACTTTCTCAGAAAATTACTTATTTAACAACTCTAATCCACTAATTTGTAATTATTAAGAGCAAAAAGGAAATTTCTAGGTGAGTTACCTTGGAACCTTAGGAAAGATGGTAGTTTAGGGTTTCTTTTACAAAAATCCCTCTACCAAAACCTTTATTCCTCCTTAGTTAGTATTTTTTGGAGGGGTTTGCGATTTAATCGGTTGGAACTCAAGATTTGGACAATAAATTGAAGAACAAAGTGAAGTCTCACTCTTGGTTTTTCTCTCTCAATAGCCGGCAAGCAAGAAGGAAAATGAAGGGAATTTTAGTCAAAATTTGATTTTTAGTAAAGGTAAAGAAAGGTTGGTCAAAGTCCACAACCAATGATTTCATGACACCTAGCTATCCTAAGCTTATTCTCATCCTTTTGTCTACCAAAGGTTAATTTATCTAACTAATCTCTAATTATCTCTTAACACCTTATAAATAATCTTCATTTATGCAAAACTTTACTTAGTCGTCGAAATTTACCGCACTTTACGCACTAGCGGGTCCCACGTCCCTAATACACTTCCAAATTAACACGAACTAACTTATACTAGAAAAATATTTTTAAAACTATATTCACTTATAAAATGTTTAGAAAATTAAGGTAGTAAAATAAAATAAAGAAAATGCACGAAAAGAAGTAGAATAAAATGATATAAAATAAGAAAATTTTACGAATCCTCACACTACTAGAGTTTGTTTAAATTAAATCATACGTTTCGCTAATATGAAACTAATCATGCTAGTTACAACTAATATCAACTAATTAAGTTTGTTTGATTAGGAATTTATTTGGATGATTTATTTGAGATAATTACTGTAGTACTTTTTGTGATGTGATATATTTGAGACAAAAAGGTGATTGAGATTTGTGAAGCAAATTATTTTTTTTCAAATCATTTCAATCCAAACACACTCAATTTAGCTGGTTAATATAGCAGCAGATTATTAGGTTAATTAGAATATCGATCCCTTGACATTCAAATAATAAAATAATTATAAGAAATTAAATCGAAATCATAATATCAATGAATTAAAAGAAATAAATAAAAATCATTTCAATTTTACAAATATTTGGAATCAAATCTTCAATTTTTGACTAGCAAGAAAAACCATCGCCTAGAAAAATCCCAACGCAGACGTATGACGATTTTCCATCGACATGCGGCTACCAGAGATACAAGAGATGCATCCTTGTTTTCTTCCAAAACCAATAGACACGATGCAATTGTTCTCCTTTCCTTAGAAGTACTATTTAAATAATATTTCGCTTGCATCATAAATGTATTTTTCAATTCATCTTTTTATATTTTTAATCATATTTTTATCTCACATACCTCATATTATAAAAGGTGTTACAATAATTATTTCCAATAATATTCCAAATAATACTCTATCCATACAACCAGGATCATTCTAGTCAGAGTTTAACTCGAACTAGGTTATTTCCACGCACAAAAAATCTTAGAGTCTCTGGAACTTGATAGCAGGTCTTGACATCGCTTAAGTCAAACTAGTTCGAAGTTTAATGAAAAATTGTTCCTTTAACCAATTTTTGCTCCGCTTTCCTGCAATTAATGCCATTAATCAAATATAAATAGAATTTAGCAGTTAATACAATATTTAGTCCAAAATTAAGGAAAAAATATTCACAAAATTACCAACAAAATGCACCCTATCAAAGACGAACGAATATACTCAAAAAAATCTTTTACCTATTCTACGAACACACCCCAAAAAAATCGGAGAGGAGTATAAGACTAAAAGGCATCAAGACTTTGCTGGTCGTCTTTTTATTGGATAACGGATTCATAACTCCAGGCTCCCCCAAGTAATTACTACTGTAATGGTATCAGTAAGAGAAGACACCCCAATCCGCCCGCCGCGTTCTATGTTCGCTGGGCTGTCTATAGTAGATTTAGTTCGCTTTACTAGGAGGAGCAATAAATGCTCTCTACGAGCACTATTTACTACTTCCTACTACTAATAGATACATATATTAATGTAAATACCGGTGTGAATGTGGCATCAAGACGTGCAGTGAATGCGCGTGCATTTCATATTGCAACTTCCATTCACCAGATCGGACCAGACATATATATATATATATATATATATATATATATATTATATACATATATATTGTTTACTACTACTATGCCATATTTAATCCCAGTGGTAATAGAGTATTTTGTTTGTAGCCTTAGTTGAACAAGAACAAATTTTTTGTGCAGAAAGAGAGGATATTTCTAAATTGCGGTGTTAAGTTTGTTTCGGAGCCGAAGAAGAAAAAGATTCCAAGTGCTGAAGACCAAAGAAAGCTGAAACCGCTGGATTGATATAGAAAAACCATGGCAGGTGGAGGTGGAGGAAGTTCAAGGCAGCTTGACCAGACACCCACATGGGCTGTGGCTGGTGTTTGTGCTGTCATCATCCTCATTTCCATTGCCTTGGAGAAACTTCTCCACAAAATTGGAACTGTGAGTAACACTTTTTAGATAGTTGCAGTCTGCAAATTATGCACACATTTGCAGCTCAATCCCTCCTCCAGTGTCTCCTTACTTCGCATGCTTGTTGACTTCTTAGTTCTTTTCTTTTTCTTTTGTTGTTAACTGCCCGAGTTATTATTTTAATTTGTGCTACAAGTAACTGATTGTTCAACCCAAGTTTCAACCAATTATTGCCCCCCTGATCTCAATATATATATATATATATACTTCTCGCAAACGTATTGCTCTGGAGTATTGACAATATCTTTTGACGTTTGTTTTTCTTGTTCTCTGTCGTCTTCTTCTTCTCTTTTTCCCTTTTAGTGGATATTTTTGTTTAATTTTCTTCTCACATTCCGCAATGCTCTCTATAGACTATAAGCAATTTCCTTCGATTATTGTCATTATTATTTTGCCTTCCCCCACCCCTCTGACCTCTATTCTTCCTGCTTGCTAATTCTTCTTTCGTAATTTTTCTTCTTCATCAGTGTTAACGGATAGGCACAAGAAAGCTCTTTATGAAGCTTTGGAGAAGGTAAAAAATGGTATGCAGTGTAACTTCTCTATTGTCATTTCACACCATGTCCGTGGTTTTTTTCTTTTTAGGTAATGTAGTAAAACGTTTACTAGATAGCATTTCAATCTTTGACTAACCTTACGTGATCTAATGGGCAGAGTTGATGATTCTCGGTTTTATCTCACTACTTCTCGTATTCAGTCAGTATTACATCACCAAATCTGTGTACCTTCTGGTGTTGCTGACTCTATGCTGCCCTGTCGTGCACGTGACAAAGTTGCTACTAAAAATGATGGACATCGTCGGAGGCTTATAGGGTACGAGCGTAGAGTTCTGGCTGCTGGTGCTAAAGAGCCTTCTTGCAAGCAGGTAATTCATGTTCCTTGCTCATTTGACAAAGGTGAAACTGGGCTTTCTTGTAAAACTCGTTGAGCGACTGATGATTACTGACCATATAGATGATCTCTTATTAGCTAAAGCACTGTTGAAGAATTGATGTTTCTTAGAAGTCAACATGCATGAATATTCTTTAATAATACCTTGAATAAACCAAGGAGAATGGGATAATGAAGATGCTTCTATATGCCTTTCACATGTCAGAATTTCCCAACCAATAGGAGTCACAAAAACTGTGAAATTTTTCAATACAAAATGCAATTCAGGAGATAATTCTTTCTCTTGTTGTTCTATCCTTAGAGGACAACAGAAGAGAATGTTATTGATCAGGTTCTTCATGATGTTACTCAACTATATGACAGATTCATTTGAAAATAAGCAAGAGCTGCCTTCTTTTAGAGTGAATTCAAAATCATCTCTGTTCTGTTGATGAGATGAAATGACATATTTGCACAATACCACATCCTTTTTCTATTGTTGTTTATACTTGTTTTTAGCATTTTAGGAGTGTCTTTTTCATTTTCAAGCATTGATCAGTCAAGCTAGTAAACTTACCTGTACGTATGCATCCTTAATATCTCCCTTAAGATGCAGACAAACTCAATACATAGTTGATGGTTATGGAAATACACTAACATCTCTCCATGATTCTTGAATTTTTGGTTAATTATTCAGCCGAGGAGGCCTAGGTTTAGTTGCTAAGGTTGAGGCCCCAAGATTTAAAGTTCTTGGTTCAAATGCCCCTCCCCTCCTCGCTAAGTAATCCCACCCTTCCCCTGCTTAAAAAAGTGAACATAAATAAAATAAAAATATAGTTAATTATTCATTTCTCTTTACATTTTCCTAGTTAAAAATTCATCATCTGAGGCCCAATTTGTATTTTTAAGCAGATTTAGAGAAAATTTACAACTTTCTTGCAGACACAAATGGTTGAAAGAAAATGTTGCTCAATGGTGCTTTTGATTTCTAGATGTAGTGGATGGCCTCTTCTCCTTCTTCTTGTTTTAATTTCCTTCCTTCATGAGGGAGATCTTAATTTGGTTGCTGATTTTGTCTGATTGTTTTTTCTTTGCATTGTGTCAGGTAAATTAATCTTTGCTTCCTATCTTTGTGTGGAACTCGATTTGCACCGTTTGTTTCTTGATTACCATGATATATTTGCAAATAGCTTTTAGTTCAGGGAAAATTAGTAAAACTGGTATCCTGGAGCTTTTTTGTTTAAGTGCGAGTAGGGGGGCTTTAACCCGAGACCTCTCACTTGCACTCCCTCCCATCCCTCTCACTTACCCTTGGAGCCTTATTTCGTAGAGAATGCGCAAGTTTCTGCTACTTTTTATAAAGGGCACTTTTACTAGCTTCATTATAAAATGTAATTGTATGTTTTATACAGAAATCAGGAAAAATACCCTTCATAGTGAATACTCCAAAGTTAAACTTTCCTTGTGCATTTGGCCTCCAAGCACGCCCTTTTCAGAATTTTTCCCTTTGCCTAAACGCTTAAACCCATCCACACCTAGAGTGTAGATTTTCCTTCATGACGAGATTATTTTGTTTGATAAAGAGTTTTTTATGCATGGGTCTCCCTAAATCATGAGATAGTTGCATGTATAAGGCTCTACTGCAAACTAATCTGACAATATTCAACAGGGGCGAGTACCACTGATATCTGTTGATGGACTGCATCAGTTACACATCCTCATATTCTTTTTAGCTGTCTTTCACGTGATATATAGTGCTGTCACAATGGCTCTAGGAAGACTCAAGGTAATTCAGGTTATGCCCACTTGGCAGTTGCTGTGGATCCAAATTTCATGCAACGTTTAGAAGGAGAGTGTTTTTTTAAGATATCATGGGACAGGTGGTTTTAGCTTATTTGATTCATCTTACTTAATTAAGTATTTAATAATGTTTTCTCTGCTTTTCCATTTAAAAAATGTAGTTGATGAATGTCACAGAAAATATTGTTTACTTCTGAATATTTCCAGTTTCTAGTCTATTTTAACATGTCATCAGGCAAGACAACATTTGTCCTTGGAACATTATTAGATTTAGGAGCAATTTATGTCTCCCACTCCTGTATGTCCATTTCAATGATTAATCTTTTGTAGTTGAAGTGCCATTGCTTCCAATACCTTTGACCAGATTAGAGCTCATGGTCGAATTATGGTTGTCAGATTCGTGGTTGGAAGGATTGGGAGCAGGAGACTTCATCGCATCATTATGAATTTTCAAATGGTATGCTACTGTACGATCTAGAAAATATAATGTTGCCAAGTGTAACTTCAATTTCACTGTCTGTTTGTCACCGCATTAATAATGAACCCTCTGAATCAGCAGATCCTACAAGATTTAGGCTTACTCATGAAACATCTTTCGTGAGAGCACACACCAGTTTCTGGACCAGTATACCGATCTTCTTTTACGTTGTAAGAAGTATTTCTTTTCAGTAAATATAAAAGTGATTGAGGTATTAATGAGTCTTTAACTTGTTGGCCCACATTCAAAATTTGCTAGTATTGGCTCAGTAAAGGCTTTTGTATGATAAGGTACCACTTTCTTGGGCTTAGTCATTCTGCTCACTTTTATATGCTTGTTGGATATGTGTTTCAATGACTGTTACATTATCTCTTTTTCTTTTTGCAAGCTTATCCTAATGTTTCACTCCTGCAGGGCTGCTTTGTCAGACAGTTTTTCCACTCCGTCAGTAAATCTGACTATTTGACATTGCGCAATGGATTTATTAGTGTAAGTTTCCAATGAAGTACTTGTTTGTTTGTCTGTACTTAATTTTAAATCCTCCATGGATTATCATCCCTTAAAATTTATTTGATGCATCTGCAGGTTCATTTAGCTCCTGGAAGTAAATTTAACTTTCAAAAGTACATAAAGAGGTCATTAGAGGATGATTTCAAGACTGTGGTGGGAGTCAGGTAATGATCGTTAATTTCGTAAAGGATTTCTATGTCTTCATGATGTAACATTCTAATATCTGCTCTTATTTGTTGACTGCTTGAAAATGTTGGCAGTCCAGTGTTATGGGCGTCTTTTGTGGTTTTCTTGCTCTTAAATGTCAGTGGTAAGTGTCTTTTCCAATAACAGATATGCTGCTAGTATTTTGTTCTTTTTTCACTAATATTTAATGATTCTACTTGAGCTTTAGGTCCATTTTAGTATGTATATTCATATATTAAATGGAAAAAGTTTTTCAATCAGGTTGGAAAGCCTTGTTCTGGGCATCCCTAATTCCTGTGGTTGTAAGTATCATCTCCTAGTTATATTGTCTCTTATGCTGGCAAGCTTAAAACTCCTAAGTACATCACCTTTCTCAGATAATCTTAGCAGTTGGGACGAAGCTTCAAGCTATTTTGACAAGGATGGCCATTGAAATTACAGAGAGACATGCAGTGGTTCAGGGCATTCCACTTGTGCAAGGCTCAGATAAATACTTCTGGTTTGGGCATCCTCAGTTAGTTCTTCATCTTATTCACTTCGCTCTGTTTCAGGTATTGACTCCTGCTATTATGGATATTAAAGATCAAACTCTGTTACCTAAAAGCGAGTAGGGAAAGTTATCTCCACTATTACTCCTTTCTGTACTATACCATCAAAGCAAAAGCTGATAGCCAATAGTTTTAATGTTGATCCTAGATGTTCTGTAAGAAATGCCTGCCTTGCATAACCAAGATTTGCAGCATGCATGGCTCCATAAAAAATTGTCAGCACTCAGCACCTTAATGCTCATTTAACAGCTATTGACAAATTTTTTTTGGGTCATATTATTTAAAACACTTGTGGTAACCCTTGGCAGAACGGACCTCTTTGTAAGCACAAATAAAATTAGAGACAAAAGAAGAGATTTTGTGATGATATGGATTATGTATTTATGCAGCAGTAATGGATTGGAGAAAGATGTCAACATAAATTTTCAAATAGTCAAGTGACCATCCCCTTCTCAACGTTCATTATGTCAGATACTTACCCTTTTGAAGAAATGACCCTTGCCATTCCCGCCAAAAAAAAAGACCTTTTATCTTTTACTTCTGTCGACTGAAAATCCCATTTATTACATAGTAGTTAATTTTAATTTTGCTAATTTTACACATCCAATGTTCTGATCAGTTTTCCCATTTTGCAGAACTCATTCCAAATAACATACTTTCTGTGGATTTGGGTAATGATTCTTCCATTTCTCAAGTACTGAAATCTGAATCTAAGTCGAAACTCCATGCTAAACAACATTATTGAGATTTTCATCCTCTGCAGTATGAGTTTGGGCTAAAATCTTGCTTCCATGAGAATTTCGAGCTAGTCATTGCCAAACTTGCTTTAGGGTATGCTTCTTCGTAAAACATTTCTAACAATAGAGTCACCCGTTGGATGTTAAATTCAATTTCCAGTTTGGCATTTTGAATCCATGTTAAATAATCTTCTGCGACATTGCAGGGTAGGAGTCCTAGTTTTATGCAGCTACATCACGCTTCCACTTTATGCTCTTGTAGCTCAGGTACCTTAACACTGTTCAACATGTCTTATAAGATCTATTGCATTTCTCTGGCTGATAAGACTGTCAATGGCACTGAGTAATGCATCCTTCAATACTTTATGTCATGACTTGTCAAGCAGATTTCTCATGAACTGCTACACAAGCTTGTCAGTTGTTAATCCATCTGTACCTAATTCCCTAGGGATGGAATGTAACTATCAATTGTAGAAAATTTCTCTTCATGTGAACTATTTTATTTAGAATTAGGTGATGGTTTTGACTATATTTGCAGATGGGTTCCTATATGAAAAAATCAATCTTTGATGAACAAACTTCCAAAGCCCTGAAGAAGTGGCATATGGCTGTGAAGAAAAAGCAGGGAAGGAAGTCTCCAACTAGAAGATTGGGTGATGCAAGTCCAACTGCTTCAGTGGCTTCAACTTTGCATTCGACAGGGCCAGCACTACATCGTTTCAAAACTACTGGTCACTCAACTCGCTCCTTCACATATGAGGACCAGGAGGCGTCTGACTTGGAAACTGACCCATCAACTCCTGTGACGAACAAGTTAATGATTACAGTTGATCACGATACACGCAATGAGCTGAATGTACCCAATGATGCAGAAGAAATCAAGAACGATAATGACTTGTCATTTATGAAGCCATCCCCCAAAGAGATGAACATCTAGGAGACTATGATGTCGCTCTGCTGGCTGTTGTAATTGTTTCTGCCAGTTCAGCCGATCTACTCAGCTTGGTTCGAGACTTTTGAGTACTTCTTTTACATGTATGATAAGAGCATCTTTTATGCTGGAAAGCAGGTTAGGTTTGATGGAGCTGCAATCCTTGTATATTAGCATTCATGGGCCACAATTAATGCAGTAGTCTGAAAGAACGTCCTGATTGCCCACATTGCTAAACAACTCGTGATGGTTAGCTAAATGTGGTTGGTTCCTCGATTTAGACAGGAAGGACTTCGTTTATGCGCAGCATCCCAAACTTTTGAGGTAAAACAGGAAATTGAACTTTTGATGTATTTTCACGCAACTGCTCTGCAAAGAGATTAAAATCCCACCTTCCTTGTCGAACGATGGGCGGGTTGAAAGAGACTTCAATTCGTTCAGACGACTAGCAATCACTGTATTATCAAACTTATTGAGCTCTCGGGTGCTTGTTGTAGAAACCTTTTTTTGTTTTTTGGCATAGCAGTTGGATGCTATTGGTATTGACTCTCTCTCTCTCTCACACACACACACAGAGATTGACGATTTACACCCAAAAAAGAAAGCAGTTTAAAGGGGATTTATTATAAGTCGAAAAAGGTTAAGCCAGAAGCATACCGGATAGATCTCCATCCACAATTGAAGAACAAAAGTTTCATCTTTTTTTTTCTTTTGGTTTTAACACAACTAAGAAGCAACACATTAATATTAAAGTAGTAGATACCCTATGGGATACAAAGTAATTTTAGAAAACATCACGGTAAACAGTTTCTGGACACCATCAATCCTGTAAGTGGCCGTGGTGGCTGTGGATCCCTGGCTTAGGGCATAAGAGATATCATTAGTAAAGACAACTGTTTAAGCAAATGAAGAATACTGCAACTCTGAAGTCGGAAGTTCAAGAACATTCCAACCATCCACCTGAAAGGAATGTCCTTAAATAGCTTTGACACGGTAAACTTAAAAACTGGTAGTGATGAAGACACACAACGGTAAATGCACAAACAACCGTTATGGTTTGCTATTAACATTACAACAAAACATGCCACTTTTATCATCTAACCCGGCATGCAGTGGGGCCACCTCCTGGAGAACAGTCTGGGTTGGGAGACCGGCAACTCGCAGTAGTAGGACGAACTGTACCACCAAATCTTTGTTCCAACCGATAGTCTCGTGCTCTTCCAGGCGCAATTGGACCACCAGTACCAATTTGAAAAGAGGCTGATGAGGACGCCGCCGCCAATAATACCGAACCTCCATCTGTACCGCCACCACTGCATTGTAGAGGCTCCAAAGTCTCGACCACATCACTCATTAAGGGCCTTGCTTTCGGGTTCTGGCTCAAGCAATAGTACGCTAGACTGCACGCCTTTTGTGCCGCCCTGACAGAGTACTGATTTTCTAATCTTGGATCTATTATTTGGAGCATTTTCCTTTTATCATTTAGCTTCGGCCTGGCCCAATCCACCAAATTCTGCTCCTTGCTTGGTCTGGTCTTGTCTACAGACTTCTTTCCAGTCAATAGCTCTAGCAGGACCACCCCAAAACTGTACACATCACTCCTTGCAGTAAGATGCCCTGTCAGTATCAAAAAGATTATGACGAATGAGAGATCGTAGAAGCATAAGGCGACATGACAATAACTTTTACTAGCCTTTTGAGTTTTGAGCTAGGAAGGTTAATATCTAACTTCAGGTAGCAAATAAATCCCCAAGTTTCTTTATTGTATTGACGAAGGCCTCAGCTCCGAAATGAGCAGTGCAAATTGTGCAATAAATTCTTCTAACAGAGAAGTTTCAATCTAAAATGGTATTATTCTCCGTTCGAATTTGCTTTCACAAAATCAAGTCTAAGACGATGGACAAATATCATAAAGGTCTGAGCTAACACTCTCTTCATTGCACGAAATTTGAGAAACCCACAAACATTTTAAAAATATGCAAACCAGTTTTAGCCTTTCTCCTCCTATGTTTTCCAGTAAACGTCACTCCGAACCAGTCTTTAGGGAGAACGGAAATATCCATAGATATATGCTCTAGCCTGTATGTGTCAGAATTGCGAACCAGTCTATCTGAAGACAAAAAGGACTTTGACTAATCTACATAGCTTTGAAACTTTACACGAGGGCGATTTGGACCCCCAAAAACTCGCAATTCCGAAGGAGCAAAGAGGTCAAGAGAGATCAGATGCTTAGCATGCCTCCGATTCAAAACAGCCGGTTGCTCACATAGAAGAGGTCTCAAGTTCAAAACTTGGGAGAAGTTCACAGTTTTTGTAAGAACACCAGGTCAATTGTCCTTTCAGGTTACTAACCACGACAAGTACTCCTGGTTGACCGCATGAAAGGCCTGTCTGAGTTTAATAACAACTACTAGTGATAAAACGACACTCAATACTAACTTTTTTTTTCATTCTAAAAGGAAGATTAGGATTTTCACACGTCTTTATTTTGGTTAAGCTTTCCTACAGTGGAAAGCTATATTAGCTAGTACAATATTGGTTAGTTAAAGCCTTAAATTTATGTGTTTTAGTGGGAAAAAATAGACAAATGAAAAGGGAGGGCCACCACAGACCAAAAGGTGCTCTCCCTCTATATCTAATATAGATGCTTTTTTAGGCAAATTTAAGTAAGCTGAAAGAAAGCTCTTTATCCAGGAAGACTTGTATCCAATCATAGACAAGCCACTGTCAATAAATAAAGAGCTAAATTCTCTTCCTCCTCGCCGGTTTACCAGTTCTGAAGCTAACTATATTTCTAAGTTCAAGATGAAAAGAAGAAAAGGGAGACAAGTACTAAGAGAATTATAATTTCATTTATTAATGAACATTTTCACCAAGAAAATCCAGCTTCCAGATCATATACGAGGGCTATCTGTGTTTTGCATTTTCATGTCAGCCAAAGAATACCTTCACAAAACAAATATAGCTGCATGCATAAACAATTTTCACATCCATGCATCTTAGAGTCAGTCTTGTATAAGTCAGTGACTCAATTCCTATTGAGAAAAGAAAAAGTCCATCAGTTAAAAAAAAAAAAAAAAAAAAGTTCCAACAGTCTCATGTTTTGCAAAAGCTCCATTTTAGAATATGTAAAACCTTCCTAGAAAAAGGTAGGATCAATAACCTGGAATAAAATCAGCTATAAACTCATTCCTATTTAGAAAAGATATAGTTCATTAATAAAAGAATGTTCCAACTCTGCAACATTTCACAAAGATCCATTTTTAGAAGATATAAAACCTTCCTGAAAAAATGTAGGATTAGTAACATGGACTAGAGTCAGCTCAGAACCATATAGAGGCATACCTGTCATTACATATTCAGGAGCTGCATATCCATAAGTTCCCATAACTCGAGTTGAAACATGGGTCTCATCACCTTGTGGCCCAGCTTTTGCAAGCCCAAAATCAGAAAGTTTAGCTGTGTAATCCTGCAATTTATAGCTAAAGGCATCAACAACTATCTATCATCCTATCAAGAAAAATGCCCAAAGAAAATTTGAAATGAGAACAAAAAGAAAAAAGAAAAGCTGAAAAAAAAAAAAAGAGTTCGCAGAATAGTGAAGCACAACTGGCAGATGATAATGCAACTTACAGAGTCCAGTAAAATGTTTGACGTCTTAAAGTCTCGGTAGATTACTGGTCTTTCAGCATTGTGAAGGAAAGCAAGTCCTTTAGCTGCTCCAAGAGCAATCATCATTCTTGTTGACCACGATAATGTAACTGTTGCCTCTGAATGCCTCAAGAAATTTTAGATCAAACTTCAGTTAACAAAATCAGGTCATTATTTTAAAAAAAAAAAAAGACATCAAAAAAATGTGCAAACTTCGGGAAGGTGGAGAAAAAATAAGCAGAATTCTATTGAAGAGAAAGTCCAATAAAATAATTAGGTTCTACTGGTGCTTGTTCTTTAAGCAAATATCCAGCTATGCTTGGTCATATTTCTTGATCAATTAAACACAGGCATACAATTAATTTAAAAGAAATTTGATTGTTGCAGGATCCAACCTTCATGTCAACCGAAAATTTTTATCAAATTCAAACTTCAATTACACAGTAACATAGACAACATGAGAAACTAAGAGCAGAAGAAAATGATACAAAATATCCATCCAAAGATTCAAAAATCCAGCGCAATTAGCATACCCAAAAGAAAAAACATTTTGTAACATAATAATCATCACTTCAAATGATGGTAAAAGGAATTCTACTTTCAGACATAGCCTATCACAGAAAACTTTCCACTTCACTTGTATGATAATGACGTCCTGACTGCAATCTTCATATTCACAATAGCACTCTCTCAGTGTCTTTATCTCAAACTATACCTCACTTAGACTCTTGAGAAAGATGACTCTGATCACACCCAGTTTAAGAAATTACATTGGCAAACTTCTGTGCAAACAAGTGTTGGGGAGGTTCAAAGTATATTTTTGGGTTTAGTTGAAACTAGATAATTTCTTTTGTTTTTGTTCAGTTTCTTAGTGAGATAAAAATTAATGCTTTTGTCCCACCAAGAAACTATATAGTAATGCAGATGTAGAATTAATTCAGATGTAGGTTTGGTAACTGGTCCATTTTAGGAGATAGATTTCAGATAAATAGTGATAACCTAGCCTTGACTTGAAAAAAGATCCTCTATATTAATGGTGTCTAATGAAAACAGATCCAGGTAAAGCAGTCTTAATTTAAAACGCTAAAATAAAGAGGCTGGCAGAACATATGAAAAATAAAAGGAGGGAGGGCGGGGAGGGGGAAGAAAAGCAAAATGAGATTAAGCAACCAAGAGGATTGTAACTTGTAAGGCGGTAAGAAGAGAGACATAGGTGGATACTTCGGAAAAGGTGATTTTCCAGGCTGCCGCGGAACATGAACTCATAAACGAGTAATCTGTGATCATCCTCGCAGCAATACCCAATCAGCTTGACCAGATTAGGATGGCGAAGCTGGCCAAGGAAATTGACCTCGGTCTAGGAAGTAGAAACAAGAAACAAAAATCGGTAGGAGTAACATTTATGATCCGGAAAAGAAGTTTGTCAAATAAGGAAAGAAATGGAAGAAAGTGGGTTGGAGGGGGGACTCACGAGCCATTCACGGTGGCCCTGAAGGCCCTCCTTGTTGAGAACCTTAACGGCAACGGGAAGGGATTTGAGGCCAACTCTGACGTTCTCATCAATGTAGCCCTTGTAAACGGTACCAAAGCCGCCCTCGCCGAGAATGTAGTCCGAGCGGAAGCTCTTGGTGATGGTCTCCAGCTCGAATAGGGAGAAGGCGATGACATGGGTATAGAGGAAGGAGTTGTTGGTGAAGTCTTCAAAATGGCGGGGGGTACAAGGATCGCTGCTTAGATCTGAGGTGGAACGACCGTGGCCGTGCCTCTTGTCAGCGGGAGCACACGGGAATGGATTTCT